TCCTATTCCAAAAAAGTCCTTGTCCAACTGAATATAACGACTACAGACCTGTGGCGTTAACTTCTTGGTTATGAAATGAAAAATATGTGGGTGTCTATAAAGTCGCTTAATAATATTCAACACAGCTAAGTGTGGTTTTAAGGTTCTTTAGTTAGATTTCTGGTAGATTAGTTAGATTTCTCATAGCCTCATAGTTCTCATAGAAACACATATTTCAGACATGAACCAAGCGGGCCCCCTTGTGGGCCAAACAGAACACTACCAAACTATTACATCACATGCGTAAAACATAAACATTACAGTATAGTGTATACTGAAAGCAGAATTTTAGCTCTGAGTTAGATCCACTCCAGTTGCCTACAAGCGGGTGCAGGGTACAGACGATGCAATTAACAGCGTCAGTCATCTGACTTTAAAACACCTTCAAGACCCTAAGGCCATATGCACGTTTGTTGTTTATTGATTTTAGTTCTGCCTTTAATACATTGCAGCCTCATCTGCTGACAAGGAAGCTAACCCAGATGACTGTTAATCCTCTAAACCTCTGGTTATTATTTTAACATAGAACACAGAATGTCAGGTCAATAACACACTTTCACATTCAAAATCAATCAGCAAAAACTCTTTCATTCCCACATCGATAAAAATTCTTAATATTGTTTCTTAGGGCTGCGGGTTGTGCAATAGTGTCATGGTGTCCCTGTATACTTTTATATTTTCTTAACTTTGTTATTTTATCTCTCATGCTGTGTTTTTGCAGATCTTGTGCAAATGATAGCAATGTATGTTGTGTTGTTCTGTATTGCTATGTGTTTTTTATTGTTTTATTTATTGATTGAGTGGAAGCAGCTAAATGTTTGGCAGAAATATGAGTCCAAGACAAATTTCCCCAAGGAGGAGTTCATTTATTTAACTACTATTTTGAAGCCTTGAGTCTTCTTTCATGGTCACTTCTTTTTAAAAGCCAGAAGTGACCATGTTTAGAGAAGAGTTGATTGAGGTTGATTACTAATTGTTATTTGTCCATTCTGGTTTGCAGGTTGCCAAGGCTGCAACTTGCACATCAAATGAAGCAGACACAGTTACAGCATTAATGTAACTCTTAATGGAACACTTTTTACTAAATGTTCTCAATGCTTCATTGAAGATGGGTTGAAACCAGAAGAGGTCTACTAGGTAATATATAAGTGAGAAATAGTCATATTCTTAACAGGTTCCAAACCATTTGATCCCTTTGTAACTAAATGAGTTACTAATGCCATTGGACAAACAGCAGGTTAAAGGTACTTAAAGCTTTTGAAACAGAAATACTTCAACTACTTCTTATGTTGCCTACAAAAATATATTCTAGTCTAATTCCAGTCTAGTCTTTCAGCTTGCATGATGGTATATTCTCAACATTTTCATAAAAATATCTGCCCTGAGACTCACCGCTTTTGAATCAATTCATTTTTCTTTGTATTGATACCAAATATAATGTAGTTTTAAAAACTTGACACCTCCTTGAGTTCAAAACAAACCTTCAAACTCAGAATGTTTGTATCCTTAAACTTCTTCTCTGATGACACTAATATAAGAAACCACATGTGTCAGACACAGAAAATAAGGCAATGTGATAAAAGACACTTGAGTGGGCTAATTGCAACTGCTAAAGACTCACTATATATTGTTTTATTTTTTTATATTTATATTATTCTGCTATTTGAGTGGACTGCAGCAAAACTCAACAACAATGATCGAGGTGGAATCTCAGAGTAACTCAAGATACTATAGAATACACAACATGTGGTTCACCTTAATGTTATCAAGACACGTCCATTCTGCAATAACTGATGTATGCAAGATAATCCCAAATAACTGAAGACTATGCAAGGCTTCTTAAAAAGGTCAAGTGTGATGTATTTATTCATTGCAATATGGTGTCTGTTAAACCTCTTATCATGCTTCTTCCTTAACTTCTTTTCACTGCTGTATGACAATATCCTGCTCTTCTTCTTTTTCTTCTTCTGTCTGTCAACTTCTTCTTGAGTCAGTAACTCTGTTTAAGTTACTCTCATACATGCCATGAGCGAAAGCTGGAGGAGTCATGAAGTAGTCATGCGATTAGTCCAACGGCAGGGAAATCTTTTAAGAGCGTTTTTTTCTTCTGTTAAATTATTCATATCTGCACCAGTGATTCAATAACTGCATCTCAGAAGTCAAGAAGACGATATATTGCTGTGTCAATTTTTGTTTCATCCCTCCTGACAGTAAATGAAAATGTTTTATTTAATTAATCCATCCATGAATCCCTCTCCTCTAGAATCATCTTCCAACAAACATAACCCTTATGAACTGCACTATAAAGATTGTTGATTGATTGATTGATTGATTGATTGATTGATTGATTGATTGATTGGTTGATTGATTGTTGATGATTGATTGATGATATTGATTGATTGATTGATTGATTGATTGATTGATTGATTGATTGATTGATTGATTGATTGATTGATTGTTTGATTGATTGATTGATTGATTGATTGATTGATTAATTGATTGATTAATTGATTGGTTGATTGGTTGATTGATTGATGTTGATTGATTGATTGTTTGATTGATTGATTGATTGATTATTGATTGATTGACTGACTGATTGATTGATTGATGATTGATTGATTGATTGATTGATTGATTGATTGATTGATTGATTGATGATTGGTTGATTGATTGGTTGGTTGATTGATCTGTAATGTGCCCTGTTAGACCCAGGTTTGACTCTGTTTAGCCCTGCAGAGGAAGCCAGAGTGCTGCTGAGGGCTTTAGTCAAATCACCTCAGTGAACCACATTGATTTCCTCATTCAGACAGAACCCAGAGAGCTCCAGACAAACAACTAGGCACAAGCTTTGGAATGAAACAGACTGGACTGAGTGTACACAGACAAGCAGCACAATTAAAGTCTTGAGTATAAACACAAGTTTCTGTAGTAAAAGGTAAAGACTGCCCCCTAGTGCCCACACAGCACATTACTTGCATTTGGAGTTGTAGTTTACCGTCCTCCTGGCCCATATTCTGAGTTTCTATCTGAATTTGCAGAATTTTTATCAGATTCAGTCCTGAGCAGTGATAGAATAATTGTTGTTGGTGACTTCAATATCCATGTGGATGTTGATAATGATAGCCTGAGCACAGCTTTCATGTCACTATTAGACTCTATTGGTTTCACCCAGGGTGTAAACAAACCTACTCATCGTTTTAACCACACCCTGGATCTTGTTTTAGCTCATGGAATTGAAATCCATAACCTTACAGTTTCCCTAGAAAATCCTCTGCTATCAGACATTTTTTTTTTTATTACATTCGATTTTGTCCTACCAGAATTACCTCTGCCTGGAAGAGGTGTGCTCTCTAGAAGTTTGTCGGATAGTGCTGTTGCTAGATTTAAGGAAGCCATTTCAGCTGTTTTTGATTCAGTACGTGTTTCAACCCAGTTGGAAACTCTTATGATAGCTTTAGTCCCTCTCAGCTAGATCAGTTTGTTGATAGTGCAGTGGATTCGCTGAGAGTTACTCTGGATTCGATTGCTCCCCTGAAACAGAAGGTTGTCAAGGCGGAGAGTGGCTCCATGGTTCAACTCAGAAACCCGTACTCTAAAACAATCGTCGCGGAATTTTGAAAGAATATGGCGCTCGACCAAAACGTAGAATCTCGTTTTTTCTAGCATGTATATAGAAGATATATGAAGGCTCTACGTCACGCCCGAGCTGCCTACTACTCCTCTCTAATCGAGGAAAACAAAGCAATCCTAGATACCTCTGCACCCCTTCCGTCATCTCCTCCTCCTCTTTCTCCTGGCTTGGCAAACTTTAAATCTAATTTCCCTTTCAGGCAAAATAAAGGTCTGAACTGAAAAAGAAAACCATGTTATGTGTTTTTATCCCTTTGTTTTGAATCACTTCTTTTTTGATTCGATAACTGACTTTAAGCATGCCCTCTTAAAAAAGTCAGGGGTCAAAGTCAGCTATTATTGAGATAGCTATAATAAGCAATGTTAATCTTTTAATACCCAGCAGTCATTAAGTGTCAGAAAAACTGGAGAAAATTTATTTACGGCTCTAAATCAAATCATGTGAAGCCTCATTTCATTTTAGGATCCAGCTTGCCTAGACATTATAAAACAATATGGTGAACCAGAGTAACTCTTGGCATGATGGTCACATCTAATTTTGTCTCATTTTATAAAGCCAACATTTATATTTGTTCCGTGTCTTGCAGCAGCCAGCCCTGAACTCTCCTGTTTGTTTTCCTCCTCTTCTCCATCCTCAGACTCTGCAGTACTGGTGCTCCTCAGGGTTGTGTCAGCTCACCTGTTCTCTTAACTCTGTACACCAATGAATGCACCAGACTCTATGCAGAGAGCTACATCATTAAATTCTTGGATGATACAGCTATCCTGAGCGTAATGCACAGAGACAGCAGTCCTTCTTTTTATCACTCTGAAGTAGAACATTTTGTGCTCTGGTGTGATACAAACTACATTGTTTTAAATGTTAAAAAGGCCGAGGAGATGGTGTTTGATCCCAGGGGAGTGGGTGATCATCATCCTGTGGTCATCCACAAGGAAAGTGTAAATGTTTGTACATACATGTGAACATTAATCCCATAATCTTTTTCTTCATTCCCCCCCGAAAAAAGGTATTGGCTGCCTGTTGGATAATGAGGTCACTTTAGTGCGGGTGTTATTCATGTCACTTGGGGCGAGGCTTTCTGAGGAAATGCAAATGCTCTGAAAAAAAACTGAGGAGAGGTTGTCAGGAAGAGGAACACATCCTCTCTCACTGGTCCGATCAACAACAATCTACTTTGCTCTCTGTTCACCATGAAGCTGTTTGGAGCTTTGATCCTGTTTGTGACTCTATCTACAGGTAAGAACAGCTTTAGAGTTAGCTATTAGTGCACTGAGCAAACACATAGTAACTGAAATAAAAGAAATGGGTTTGATTTTTATGTGATGTCAGAAAGTTGAAGAAAAAGTTCCCTCCTTGCAAAAAATGTGCCTATCGTTATAGTCTTTAAACTTTGGTTTAACAGGGTTAATCTGTGAACTGTTGTTCTGGCCATGTGCCTTCTGACTTTAGAACAGTGTACATTAGTTTGAGTAGGTCAACAAATTACTCTCTTTCTGAAGAAACCTTTGTAAAATGTAAATTACCATCTTCCTTCTCCCATTTTGTCAATTCTCTACTTGGCTTTTCCATTGAGGCATACATGCCCCAAAAAATAAACCAGTGGGTCAAAATCAAACACAAAGCACAGCATGATAAAGCTATAGGATAAAACACATGGTTAAAGAAATTTGGCTAAATATAAAAGTATGTCCAAGCCCCTTCTCTAAACTTAAATTTCATTTGACTTTCTCAGGGCCTCTTAAATAGTTTTTAGTCATGACTGAAGTTTTGTTTTTGTTTTCTCTTTTCTGTCAAACTCTCTTATCGGAAACCTTTCTGTAGGTGTTAATTTCTGCTAACACGCAGATCATGCAAAACAAAAACAACATAATGTGAACTCTTTGTGAACTGCTCAAATGCACGTCACACCTACCCATTCACATCCATTCATACACTGATGGCAGTGGTTGCTATGTAGGGAGACAATCAGAAGTAACTAATCCCATTCATAAGCATTCATACACCGCCGACGAAGCAGCGAGAGCAATTCAGGGTTAAATGTCTTGCCCAGGGACACATCGGACATGTTGCTGCAGGAGCTGGGAATCGAACCGCAACCTTCCAGTTGAGAGACGACGACACAGAACCGCAGCCCAATAATAAGGCTGTTAACGTTGTGTACCTGCGTGCTTGTGCTCGTGCATCAACTGTACCGTGTGGAAGCACACCTCTCCGAAGTGATCCAGGGCCAAGGAAGTGTACAGTGCTCGAGCAAGGGCACGGTACGGACTGCGTAGTGTGAGCGCGCCCTAAGTTAGCGTTGAGAGCCGGCACTAGCTATCGCTGGCATCGCTGGCTGATTTCTGTAAAGCTGCTTCCATAGTGTTGTTTGATTAATCTGCCTTCCGATATTAAACTGCAGCTTGTGCTATGGTTGTTTTTTTGCTAGCAGCTGAATCTTTGAGTAAACCAACAGAGGCTTGCTGTGGTGGCTATTATTTTTATTTTGAGAGTTTGTGCTAGTTATTTTGTTTTTGTATGCATTTGCTGTTTTGTTTAGTTTTTAAGATATCTTTCTATCTCAAAAGCACCGTGTGGTATATTGCGTGACTTAACTGATGTGTTTTGTGTCTCTGTTTAGCATGTGGATTGAGATGCTACACATGCATTGCCGCAGACCCAAGATCATGCACAGACACCAAATCTTGTGCAGTCATCTTCGATCGATGTTTCTCTCTCCCAATTGGTAAGTTCTTTAATTTTCAGGCTTGTAAAGCTAATGATGAGAATTCAAAGCACACACTGAAATTAATCATCAGACAGCCAATACAAGTTTTTGCAGTATTAAATTCTTGGTGGCTGATTGGTTTCTGTGTTTTGAAGGCACTGACGTGACCACCAAGGGCTGCATAAACAGCCTGGTATGTGCTGCAGGTGTCATGTCATGCTGTGAAGGAGACCTGTGTAACAGTGCAGTGCCAACTGGTTCCAGTGTCCTCCTGCTGCTGGTATCTTCAGCCCTCATCACTCTCTTTCTCTAAGGCTCTGGGATCCTCTTATTTTAATGCTGCACTTCTTGTGTCTGAACCAATTTGTACCACTGCAGATGAATAAAAACAATTAAGTTTCACTGGAAACTATATCTCAAAGTCAATTACATAATCTTATGCACATGTTAATCCTTTGCTTTCACTCATGGATTGAATAAAAAGAGCTGGCTATACAATGAAAATCAAGCACGTGTCACTTGCCCATTGGCGGTTCTAGGGAGGGGCCTATGTAAATAAAGTTTATTTACACACTTTATTTCATTTGGGGTTATGCATTTATCATGTAAGTTAGTTAACTAAGTTAGTTATTGCTATTACACATACCCTTACATAAAGAGTAACTATTCCTTATTGAAAAGTGTGCAAAAAGAACTTAATCAGATGCTGAGGCTCTATGACTTCTTTCTCAGGTTTGAAACACAGGACATTTCCTTGGAATGCAATAAATTGCTACAGCCTATCTCAATTACTGAACCTTGCCCCAGTCTGGTCGTCGACCCTCCCAAAATTCAGTCCCTTTTTAGTCAGATAGGCAGGAGGAAATCCACAGGCCCAGGTGACATCCCTGCTCATCTCTTAAAGATCTGTGCAGAGGAGCTCACTCCAGCTTGTTGTCCTGTATTAAAGCAGTCTGTGGATTCACACACAGTTCCTATTCAAAATCCACCATCATTCCTATTCCAAAAAAGTCTTGTCCAACTGAATATAACGACTACAGACCTGTGGCGTTAACTTCTGTGGTTATGAAATGAAAAATATGTGGTGTCTATAAAGTCGCTTAATAATATTCAACACAGCTAA